CACAAACATGTTATACAATTCATGCTAAATCAGAGTGTTAAGCCCTTTGTTGCTCTTTTTGCCTTGTCAAGGACAAAACTTAGTGGTTCCCTTGAGTTGTTAAGCTCAGTCTCATTATTAGGGGCAAAATAAGTACAATATATTGTGACTCGACGAGAACGAATTTCTAATAAATGAGTTGCAGTTGTCAGAAAAACATGCGAGCAATTAAGGCAAAAAATAAAGTTACCAAAAAAACCTCATAAAATGGTAACATTCTTAACACAGTTAAGAAGAACTTATCGAGACTTGGCGCTCTCAAGGAAACCTAGCGAGAGAAAATTGAATATCCATTTTAATTAAATCGAACGTTTCACGTCGGTTCAAAACAAAATGGCACGTACTTTAAGCATTTTTACGAGGTTTGACTTTCACACATGCTTAAGAACATAATCGCAGGGTCACTTAGAGAAGTGAATTTAGCGTGATGTTACAAATTGTATTCAAAATGTTCCCGTGCTAGATTAGTAGTAAAAATTTTTGACACTTATTGCTCGAACTTTGAGCAGAATCCATATTAAACATGTCTTAAACAACAAGTGAGTTTCTTTATTTTTTGTTTTCAATTTTTTTTTGATATCACTCAGCTGTTTAGCAGAAAAGGAAGAGGCTTTCCTTTTATCACTAAAAGTAATGGGATGAAGTAGTCAGGTTAAAAGAATCCTCATTTAAGGAACCTGAAGACTATCCGAGTCTTTTGAGTCTTGATCTTTTTAAGCTGTGCGAGCAATTCAAGAGGTTCAATACTAGCGTGCTACATGTCACTTAGCAACCCTCCAAGACGATAAATAGAGCCCAGTCAACTTGCACAAACGTGACCCCAACAAGAAAAGTTATAGTTTTTGTGATTGCAGGTAACAGCTGAAACCAACGTCGGGAATTGAACAAATTTCTCTTCATTTTGTTTTCTTTCCCGATGATTCTGCAGTTCCAGATTTCTTTGTCCTTCCATCTTGGCATATATACTGTGTTAGTCAGTCAGAACAAGAAATCACAATTTGATACAATCCAACATGAGTATTTCAAAAAATTGTAACAGTGATCTGTTCGGAAATGTATCTCTATTACTTAAAAAAATATGTTTACTCTACTAAAACTGCCTGGCCGGTAGATTCAATTAATAGCTCTTTTCTGGAATCTCTTGGCAGTTCAGTGAGAAAAAAAAAAGTTGTTAAACAGCAGCATTACACTCTTCCATCATCGTGGCTCACACAGAACGTGAACAAATTCAGAAGGAAAAAATTATACTTGATCTTTTATGTACTGGAAGTCACTCATTTTTTGATGTCAAAACATTGTACATGGGCTTTAACCAGCAACTAAGTCTTAACGAAATAAAGAAACAGGCTTCGATCTTGAGACTAAATAACTATCCTTACTACGTTAAGACACTGCTAAATTAGTTTGGCAGATCGCCAATGTCTGTGATGGGATCTCCTCCATTTCCATTACCATTTCCGTTACCATTGTTGTTATAGACGTTTTTCATGCAGACAGTACAGCGACTAACATGCTCACGCTGGTTTCCTGATTTTATAGTTTGGGATGTTGGCGTTCGGAACTGGTCCTCATTTTTGACAATTGTTAGCCAGAAACTGTACGTGCTCCCATAATAGTGGCACGTGCCGCGACCGTGGCATTCTATGAAGGGGCTGGTACGGAAATCCTCCAAACAGGAGCCTGGGGATGAAAGAAGCTGGCCTGCCCCATCGTTACCAGCGCTTGTGTGCTGTAAAGAATAAATCAAAAGTTAGTGTCACGACCTTCTCAACCTTCTCAGAGAAGAAACCTCAGTTGCTTTAGGCACATTGATCTCTCACTTTGAGCAACACAAAATGGTTAATACTGAAAGTTCAATTCATTCCCTATGGCTGCCTCATTATAACTGCCCCCTTGTTTTGTCCTGAATCAACGTGAAGCTGTCATGCATTTTAGTACTCACTGCACCTAACCAAGCGTATCTGTCTTGAAGCAAATTTGAAAGTAACTTTATACCAGTTTCTGCAGCACTGTATGTCACACTCACCATTAGAAAGCTGTAACCTCTCCACAGAGGTTTCCATTGTTCTGGACAGTCTGGCTCAATCATGCTTTGACTGTGAAGTGCCATGACCATAGCGGGTGCCTCACACACCCGGCAGCGACTAATAAAGGGCTTCACGTCCTGATCTGCCACAGGCATCATGGGGATAGGTTCCGTGGTTGACAACCAGAAAGTGTAGTCATTCCGAGAGGCCAGGTTGCAGTTTTGGTTCAGGTTACAAAACAGGAAGGGCATGGTGCTGAATTTTGGCAGACAAGAGCCTGGTTGGCCGAGGTCTTGCCCATGTGCGCGTTCGTTACCCTGGACGTAAAGCAAGCTGTACCCTTCCCAAAGTGACACCGTATCGTCCGGGCATTGTGGCAGTTCCGCCGTTTGGCTGTGTCGTACAACATAGAAGCCGAAATCTGCTTCACCGGGGGGTCCGGGTTGACCGGCCTCTCCCGGAGGACCTGGAAGTCCTGGTTCACCGGGGGGTCCAGGCAGACCTAAAATTCCATCTGCGCCCTTGTCACCTAAAAAAGGCCGAGAGCCAATCAACTGCAGCCTATAGTAACCACACTCAATAGCATGCTAGATTTACATCAAAACAGCAGCTGGCAACTAGCTTACATCCATAATAAATTCACTTTAAAATTGAAGTTATACAGTATGAACCCTATCTTAATCTCTCTTCTTTCTTCCTTAAAGGAGCTCAGTCACGGTATTTTGAGTTATTTTGGCCACATACAAAATTACCTTTAAATNCCTTGTCACCTAAAAAAGGCCGAGAGCCAATCAACTGCAGCCTATAGTAACCACACTCAATAGCATGCTAGATTTACATCAAAACAGCAGCTGGCAACTAGCTTACATCCATAATAAATTTACTTAATTGAAGTTATACAGTATGAACCCTATCTTAATCTCTCTTTTTTCTTCCTTAAAGGAGCTAAGTCACGGTATTTTGAGTTATTTTGGTCACATACAAAATTACCTTTAATAGAAGGAAACCTGAAAATAACAGTTTAATAAGATAGAACAACACCAAAGAGATAATGATAAAACATAAAGGAACAAGGATGACTAAGGATGGAGAAGATGAACACGGATTACAAACTACGAATTTGAAAAATTGAGGCTAAACTTTCGCTAACCGTGACTGAGTTCCTTTAAGAAACGATCTAAAAATGAGGGATACAAAACATTACCAACTATTTTCAANTCGTCAATTCGGACACCAACGGACCACAAAAATCTGGCCGTATTAACGGGGTGGCTATATTAAAGGGATTCTTTAAATAAGAAAATGACTGACTAAGCTTTTGTTCGGGCCAGAATCAAGTGGCCGTCATGACAAGGTGGCCGTAAGGCGGGGCTACACTTTAAATCATTCAACTTTTACACCCTAATAGGATTTCCTTTCCACCCACCTTTTGGTCCTTCTACTCCATCAATTCCTCTATCCCCAGGATCCCCTCTTGGCCCCTCGGGTCCGGGAGGTCCCACAGGTCCAATGTTACCCTTCTGGCCTTCAATTCCTGGAATACCGTCCTCACCAGGATCGCCTTTCTCCCCAGGAGAACCTAAAAAGCAAAACAAGGATCTTGTAAGTACTCAAGTCAGCATCACTACTCTTTCTTTTACGCTCTTGAACAAGGAGGTGGAGTGTGGAACATAAATACTCCTCATTACAATGTTTAACTTGGCCAGCAACATACATGGTGGATACATTGTTACTAAAACAAGTGGTTGTTTATTGTGACAGTAAGGATTTCTTACCCATTCCGAGTCCGGGATCTCCTTTCTCTCCTTGCGGGCCATTTGCTCCAGGCTCACCTTGCAGCCCAGGAACCCCAGGGAATCCTTCATCTCCCTTTAGTCCGGGAGGTCCAGCAGCACCTTCCTCCCCCTGTTCTCCAGGGTTGCCAGTGTCCCCAGGTAGCCCTATCTCGCCAGGTTCTCCTTTAGGCCCGGGTGATCCACTTGGTCCAACTGACCCTGGGTCTCCCTTAACCCCTTCCTCACCCAGAGGACCAGGTTCACCTTTTTCTCCAGGCTGGCCATCTGATCCAGGCGAACCAGGACTTCCCTCAGGCCCTACAACAGAAAGCTGACTTGTTAACCTTTCAAAGACCAAAATCCATTAGAATTCCTATCTTACCAATATATTTGCATGCTTGTTTTTTTTTTTAATCAGGCCATAACTATCTGTATTGAAAAAACGAACTATCTGGAGTTTGCAAAATGAACAACCGAGTGCCTAAGGATATAATGGACACAAGTATCTTAAATAACCTTTTTCTCAAAATCTACCCGTATGACCCCACCTCAAAATTTCAGGAATTAAAAGTAAAATAAAAATCTATAAGCGAGATTTTTCGCAAACTAAGAAAATGCGAAATTTTGCCTATTTCAAAAATAGCTCAAAATCTGTGTTACAGATTTTTTTAAAATTTTGGCTCTAAACGCGGTTCACTCCTACAAATTAACAGTGAAAATTTTATCATGGGTTGTATCGTAGGTTTTCGAGCCATCTTGGATCAAAGACCAGCTTTTACAGCCTTGGATGCGAACTGAACTGCGCATGCCTTTTATTTAAGGGCGCGCTCATGTGACGCCATGTATCCCGTGCAAAAGAGAAAGAGTAAATTAGAACTCTGTTACTGGTTGTTTATCGACATTTTGTCATATTTTGTTGGTCCTATGTTTGAAAGCAGTTTGAAACTATCGCTACGTACACCAAGGTGGTTAAACGCGATTCACGGGCTGAAGTTGTTTTTGTTTCTTCTCAGGGTTACTTGCGTCATTTTTGCATGCGCGACTAAAGCTGATGTCTGGCAGGCAATTGCTGCGCCGCGCTACTGAGTCTCGGAAAACCTGTAGTAAGCCACCTTAACGGTTCAAGTTTCACATTAAATGGTAAAAGACTTAGGCAAACAGGAAATAGAGAAAGGAAAAACATCTTGGAACATTTTTCAAAAGAGTTAAAAGTTCGGCTATTATACCGTACAATTCCGAAAGTAACGGCCCGGTTACTTTTGCATTTAGCAGGCAAAAGGGGCCGTTACTTACGGGTAGGAGTTAATTTCGGATGGTTAAAAAAAGTTTCTGACGGTAACATTCGTTTCAGACAAAGCGGACGCGTAACACATGAAATGAAAAGTTCCGTTAATGTATATTCCTAACTATCCACATAAACAAAGCTGACTGCTTAAACAGGAAAGGCCTAAACGTTGGTACTGTAGGGAGAAAGTATAACGGTCGCATTATATCGCGTATATCATATGTATAACATTTGACTCTGCTGCTAGTCAACTGAATACAGCTCATAAGTCATAGTTTCAAGAAAAATTCAGTTCAGTTCGAAATAAAATCACAAATAACTCCTCAAGTTGTTCAGTCCTGCAGTCAGGCTGTTCCACCCACCAGTGCTCAATTTAAGATCACCGAGTTTCTCTTTTAGTGACTTGTTCAAAGGGCTGTTACTTTCGGGGTTCCATAGGAAGACGGGAAGGTAAACAACTAACGTTACTTTCGGAAAGCCGTTATTTGGGGGGCCGTTACTTTTAGAATTCTACGGTAATCCATCAAAACTGCAGTAAGCCACCTTAATTAAACAGATCTAACCTAGTTGTAACCTAGGATAACAAAAGTCTGACCCAAACTACACCAGGTGTAACCTAGGCTTAACTAGGTTTAAATAGACTGCTTTCACCTGGAGCTCCCTGTTGTCCTCTCAATCCCGGTTCTCCGTCAGCTCCAGTTTCACCAGGAGGTCCAACATCACCCTGTTCACCTGGGTCGCCTGGAAAGCCTTCAACACCTGGATCCCCTGGAACTCCAGGCTGGCCAGCTGAACCATTGTCTCCTTTCTCTCCCGGAGCCCCAGGGACTCCGGGAGGACCCATCTCACCAGGGAAGCCAATGCTACCAGCTTCGCCAGGATCTCCTTGCTCACCTGCAGTCAGCCACAACACCATAGCAACATCAACTCACTGCTTAGCCAAAGTTGAAACATGTAGGCCCCGATTGTTGAGGAGCAGATATGGTAAGTAAAATGCATCCTAACAAGCTATAACAGCTCATTTTGTTTTGAAGTAGTCAAGACAGAGCGTATATGTAACGTATAAGAACAAGAGAACATCTTCATTTACAGTCATCAAACAGTAAAAAGAGTTACAAATTCAGTGCAACTTTGCCTTATGACCACAAGTTTATAACCAGAGGTTGGTTGTCCTAATGGGTCTCACTGCATTTACTTCGGAACATTCAAAAAACAAAACCCCCAAATATGTTCTCTGATGATGTTACTCAAAGTAAGAAAATCAAAATGAAAATAATATTAATAATGATAATGATAATGATAATGATAATGATAATAATGATAATAACAATAATAAGCTAAGAAGATTACTACCCACATTCATATTCCTTCGAGAAATAGTCTTGATGTTAATTTTGTTGGATAATATATCTTGGAAGTGGTACCCGAACTATTATTGAGGCACAGATTTCCATACTGATGTTATTACCCACATAATGGAGACGTTAAGCACGACGTTTACGGCAAACGGCTAACGGCTAAAATGAAACTTTCGCCGTCTCTCTTCAGCTGCCTCTACAGTAGAGTGAAAATATTTGTATTTGCGGTGAATAGTAGGAGATATTTTTCTATTTTTGTGTGATTTATTTAAGGATCAGAAGAAAAGAATAAAACATCAGAGGCCAACTTTGCCGTTTTCCGTCTGCCGTAAACGTCACGCTTAAACTCTCTAATATTGCTGTACACTAATGCACCACTTGGCTAGGATAGTAACAGACGATCACAGACATAACTTATTTCTTTTTACTCTTTTATAGTGGGACTACAAGCCTGTAATTCAAATTAGTGCTTCTCTGAGCCACCCTCTGGGAAATTGTGGTTCTAGCCTTACTCTCATAAGGAGATTGGTGTGATATGTTGCCACCCTTAAGATCCAGAAGTTCCAGCATGTATATCGATTGCAGACAAGTTATAAACACTGTGGTTGAAGCCTAAATGTCAAACTGTTGCCTTGCTTACCTTTGGCTCCTGCAGGTCCAACATCTCCCGAAGGTCCGGGGGGACCTCTCTGGCCCTTTTCTCCATCAACCCCATCCAGACCATTGGTGCCGTTCACACCAGGTTCACCCTTTTGCCCTTCGACAACTGTGGTTTCACCTGTTGTTCCCTTGTCTCCTTTATCCCCTTGGGCACCTTATAAAATGACCACAAAAACCCACATCAACATGGTTTTCAATTTGATGATGAGTGACAAGGGGGATGGGATGTTGTTGCTTGGTTATTGGAAAAAGGATCAGTTTTAAAAGAGAAAAGCTGTAAAGACCTCAGAAAATAAGACCCAGCAACCTCAGATGCAAAAGCCGTGACCTTGAAAAGTAAACCCAACTCCTCCAGATTTATAAAGTATTACTTAAAATAGCCCAGAGCACCTTTCACTGGGTGTTGAAAATTATTCAGTCACTTTGGTCTTGCTCTACATGAGTGGCTTAAAAAACTGGCACTGCTTTGTCATCCAATCAGAAGTAAAATCAAAGCCAATCTTATCTTACTTGCAAATTTTCTTCCGCTTTATGCGTCAGCTACATGTATTTGCTTCAAGTTTTAATTGATTTACTAGATTGTCTGTGCAATTTGTGACTGAAAGGTCACAGGTCATTATTTCAGTTTTGGTTTTGTGACAGTCAATTGATAACAGCTCAATAATTCCTCAACATTTTAAGCACTCATTATTGGTGGTTGCTGTTTTTTGAACTTGACACTTTAAATTGAAACTTTAATAACAAGCATTGCGGCTGCCGCAACAGCAGCGTACCTGCATCTCCTGGTGGCCCGAAGGGTCCTGGAGGTCCCGGTTCTCCAGCTGCTCCTTTTTCTCCCTTTTCTCCATCTTTTCCTGGTTCTCCTTCTCTTCCAGGTTCACCAGCATCCCCACGTTCACCAGGCACGCCAATCCCAGGATTTCCAGCATCACCCTTGATCCCTACAACAAAGCACATACTATGAGCCTGCAGAGGAGTTGGTGAATGTCTTCTCTTTTCTTGCGACCAATTAAATGACCACCAGAGGAGTTAGACAAACTACGTGTGCAATTGTGTACAGAAAGCATGCGCAAAGCACCACAAAGCAATCAGCTCACCTCAATCATGTGACGCCTTACCTTCTTTTCCACGTTCTCCTGGATCACCACGAAGCCCCTGTTCTCCAGGAGGCCCCTGAATACCTTTCTGGCCCTTGAAACCTTCAGGTCCCTCTGGCCCCTGTATTCCAGGTGTCCCTTTGCTACCTTTCTCTCCTTCTTCACCAGGTGGACCTTGTACACCGGGAGTTCCAGGCTCCCCCCTGGGACCAGGTTCCCCAGGGAGACCAACTTCTCCTGCTGCTCCTGGATTTCCATCCACACCTTTGTAGCACAAAATAATTTGACCATGAGTCAGCTTGCTGCCTTTATTCTTACGTTTGAGGGATACCAATGCATGGTACCTTTCAAGGAGCAGTTTGTGATATTAGAAATGCTGAAAATATTTTATTTTTATTTTAACCTGTGATCTGCCGGGCTCCCCTATTTAAATGACTCACTGTTGACAGGGTTCGTACTCTTTGAAGCTTTTAAAATTCTATGACTTTCCATGACCTTTCCGAGTTTTCCAGGACAAAAGTTAAGCAGTTGTTCTCACAGCAGTATCAAAACAATCATTTATTTAACGTATTTTCCAACATTATAATGCATATAATGTGTGCTTGTGTCTATTTCTACTGAAATTAAAGCCTGTTTCTGACTCATCTGTTATTTTTTTCAATTTTTAAAATATCTTTTTGCCAAGCACATTGCTTTTCTATGACTTTCCATGACCTTCACTTAAATTCCATGACTTTCCAGGTTTTCCATGACCTGTACGAGTCCCCAAATTTTTTGCTTTTTCGACATGAGTTGGTTGTACAACAAAAGTTAAAAAAAAAACATGGGAACATGAGAATATTCGAAAAGTGAATGTCACATGAAGTGCATGTTATAAGTTAGGAAGTCCTACCATTAATTCCCGGTGGGCCAGCAGGACCTGGATTGCCTTTGTCTCCTTTAGGTCCTGGTATGACTGTGGCATTTGATTTTCCTGGTGGGCCAGTTTCACCTGTCATACCACGGTCACCCTTAATTCCTGGGAAGCCCTGTCTGCCTGGTGGGCCAACTTCACCTTCAACACCTTTATACCAACACCAGAAAGACAAATACTTACACAACAAGTCCTTATATCAATAAGGGAACAACTGGTTGTGAGACCAGCAAGGGAACCTTTAGACATAAACACACTCTCTGGAGTGAAACCACAGGAAATATGGATATCCTGTTCAGAGGTAGATTTAAATTCACACACTGCACAAACCAGAGTGAAAAAACAATTTGTCATTATTATATGGCTTCTGTTTGTAGCTGATAAAATTGCACTCTGATTGAGGACATTATTCTCCCATGATGCTCACAGCCCAATTAAATGAGTCTACAACAAAGCAAAAGGTAATTAAGAAACTTTTCTTTTGGAAATTGTAACGGCTGAAAATGATGAGTGACGAGGAACACTCTGAGAGTGAATTATACTACCCAGAAGAACTACAATTTTAGGACAACAGTGGATTCACCACAATGAACAAGTTGTTGCTGGAGAGGATGAAGGAAAAAGCAAAGCAGCTTTGTGTAAGCCGTATAATTAACTACTTATTAACATCGAACGTTCAGTCTTTAGGGAAAAATATCACACTGCGGCCTTGCCTTATGTCATGCTTAAAGACCCCTCTCTCGGTAAATAAGTAGTTTCAGTGATCTATCCTCTGATTATTTGATTGAAATTATTTCGTGAAAACATTATAATTACTCATTTTAGTGAAAAAAGTTTCTCCTCATTCTGCTGGTCAGTACAACATCCATTAGTCAGGTGGTACTATGATTGACAGCTGTCATTCATATACAAACCTGGCTCGCCCTTGGGGCCTGGCTGTCCAGCAGGTCCATCATCACCCTGAGAACCTTTCTCACCGCGGCGCCCAGGGATACCCGGAAGTCCAGGTTCACCAATATCACCTGGCTCACCAACTTCTCCTTTACTGCCTTCTGGACCCTCTACACCGGGTGGACCTTGTGGACCTGTTGCTCCTTTCTCGCCAGGACTTCCCACATCGCCATCTCTTCCAGGATCTCCATCTCTGCCAGGTGCGCCGGGCTCACCCTTCTGCCCAGGCTGACCTAAAATAGACATTAATCACCTTAAACAGTGACAAAGCAAGTTTTGTAAATGTGTAATTTCTGACCAGCACACCTATAATAAAACTTTTAAGTCCCGACTGCTGAGCTTTATGTTATGTCAATGGTTTGTTGGTAGCCATCTTTTCAGTGTCTACCCAAGAACACCAAAATTTGGATCCATGTCTGGACCACTGGTTTCAGAGTTCACCACATGCCACAAGGGCAGCACCCCTAAAACCTCTGACAAAATCTTGAAAATGTTTTATTCAAATGAGAATAGTACTAAAGCTACAAAGTGGTCTGAAGTAATAATTCATATTGTATGAACAGATTAAGTGAGAGGTATATGAGTTTCCCACCCTTCACACCTTCCTTCTATGGGGTGTTTCTTTTGCCTGTCTATTCCATGGCATAAAAAAGCCACTGAAGCATCATGGGACCACAAGATTTAGGTCCCAGGGCTTAGTTGATATACTCAGGCCCCTCGTTTTTGTTCCTCTTTTTGGGGGCAGGGGTTTGGGGAAGGTTACCCATCTGTTGACAATAAAATGTGGTTTTAAGCACTAACCAGGAAATTCCTACCATTGGAATGAAGTCTGAGATATAATTACAGGTATTAGAGCTGCTGTCAGCCATGCTAAGACAAAAATATCATACCTTGGGGACCAGTCTTGCCAGGTGGCCCTTGAGGGCCAATAACAGCTCTACCCTTCATTCCCACATCTCCTGGTAACCCTGGTGGACCTCGCTGGCCTGTATCACCTGTTGATGAAAATAGAGTGCAGAGTGTCACTAGTGTCTGCCAAAGAATCACATTTGTTGACTTTTTTAAGGAGTGGTGAATGGTCCTTCAAAATCTCTGGGTCTCGCAGTCTCATTTTTTTGGCGGTTATGTGCGTCTCGCAGTCTCGATTTTTATACGAAGCTCTCTTGGAGTCTCAACTTTTTGCAAGGTTAAGGGTTTGGAAGTCCCATTTCGTTTGTTTGCCTTAATAAATGACGTCTTCTCATCACTTGATATTGAATTACAATAAAGCAACTCTCAAATCTCAGAGAAGGAGTTAATCCTAACTTCTGCCAAATTGTCTGAATTCCACAAAAAGCTACAAAACTTACCACAACGTCATTTTGGTGCCAAAAAACAGTTATTTTGTTCTAGGATATCCTAACGTGGTGTGTTATAGTTGAATTTCCAGTTTGAGCTTGTTTGCAAAGGCTGGCTAAAAGGCTAAAAGGGGAATCAAGAAGCCACACACAACCCACAATAGCTCATGATGAAACCCACAAAGTCGAAGAACTTATCTGTTGTCCCCTGTAGAACTGTGTGAAGGCACAAGTATTTACGACAAAAGGCTCCTTTGTAAGACTTCTGCACAAGCTCATTCTTGCTCATTCTTATAGCTCTCAACTAAATCTGGGGCTCGAATTTTAAGAGTCTGAGCCCCTCGTGCTCGCACTCAAAACACTTTGAAGTCTTGGTCTCGCAATCTTAAAGTCGATATGTCTCGCGCTCACAAAGAAAAGCACTGGTTTCGCTGTCTTGCAAAGTCTCGCATTTACCATTCACCACCGATCGATGAAAATTTGAATCACCACTACGACCCAAGTTTTTTCTCCTTCAATTTGCACAAGGGCCATAAAACGAATGAGAAACACAAGGATCTGTAAGCTAATACAGACCAAGAAGACAGGGTTAGGAAGATATGAATTTTATATTTACTGTGTGTCTGATAGGTGCAGGGAAACGATAATAGGACCTGCTAAATTTACCACTCACAGCACAAGTAGTTACTGAAATAATTACAATTTATTTAGTCCAAGAGTGCATGGAAATGAATCCTGCAATTGAATTAGAACTGTGCAGATTTTCTGTCTCTGCTCATGGTAACTGTCATGCTGTCACAAGTTTTATTACAGTGAATTGAGAGAGGGACAACAATGCCCAATAAACACAAAATGATACCGTTTGAAATTACAACTTTACCACCCGTACAGTTTGACAGATTGTAAAAGACTAATGAGATGCAATTTTCCAACCATATACGGATTGAACACAGCCTTTACCATCCATACAAACCGTTCAGCTGGACAAGATGTGTTACCCCCTTGACTATAGCGAGACATAATTTATATTCAAAATCCCCCTAATGAGATGCAATTTTCTGATCATATATGGATCAAAAACATTCTTTTACTGTCTGTCAAACTGTACAGATTGAAAAGTTGCTTTTTCAAACCATATAAGATTGTGTGTATTGGACAACCCTCGAGAGAGAAGGGAAAATAGTGATCTCTTTTTTAAACTACACAAACCCTTGCATGCACCAGTTCTATTCTTTGTTATACAAACCTGGCCGGCCAATCGGGCCAGTACTTCCTTTCGTGCCCGGTGCACCAGGTAAACCTTGTTGGCCACGGTCGCCTTTGTCGCCAGGGTCCCCTGGGGGACCATTTTTTCCAGGAGTTCCAGGTATTCCAGGTTGACCAACTGCTCCAACCGGGCCTTTTTCACCTTTGGAGCCATCAGAGCCTTGAGGGCCTGGAGGGCCTGTCACACCTGTGTCGCCTGCTTTTCCTTTGTCACCTGAGACACCAGGACAAAAACATAAGGTGAACTACAGAGAACACAGTGGATTGTAGTAACAATTAAGGTCCCCACAAACAAAACATCCTTACAGATACATTGTTTCACAAAACTGCTTCCTTGGTGTAAAAATAATGAAGAAATGTTTCCTTTGGGAACAAAAATAAAAAAAAGTATTGTTTCTACAACACATTTTCATGTGCAAATGGGGAAATATTTAACAAAACACAAAACAATGTTTCCTTTTTTTGCAGGGCTACTAAACAATAGAAAATATCAAGAGCACAGGCTGTGGTTATTCAAAAGAAGTTTAAATTGACCTCAGCTTAGAGCTGAGATGAAGCTACTTTTATTGTTAACCTGTGAGTAAAACAGAATCTTTGATTAAGGTTTGTTAACCTGAGGTTAAATAGCAGCTAAAAACAGGTTTGATAGGCTGGTTAGTTAACCTTGAATCACAACAATAGTATTATGCAATCAGGTCATGATCAGTCCTCTATCACCGTCATGTTTTCAAGAGGTCAGTGGTAGTCTTTCTAATAAACTCAAGCACTAGCCCTGCTGCACCAGTTTCACCTCCATAAGTTACCTTTAGGTCCATCTCCTCCAGTCTCTCCTTGTTGACCAGGAGGTCCAGGGGGGCCACGGCTCCCCTCGCCTCTGTCACCCTTCTCCCCTGGATTTCCTGCTGTTCCATTACTGCCCTTCATGCCTCTGGGTCCAGGTTCTCCCTGCTGACCATTTTCCCCACGGTCTCCAGGTTCTCCCTTGTTGCCCTTTGTCATATTTTTAAGTTGTCCTGCAAATGCGCAAGAATCACCTGTGCACAAAAAGAATTTCAAAAAGATGTCAGCGTGAAGAGAAAGTCACCCGTAGCTGGTTTGCATCAGGGTACTCCACCAAATTGTAATTATAGCAATTTGAAAATGTTGGTCTTTAGAAGCAAGAAAAACTTGAGGACCTGGAGGAAGCCCCTTGGAACAAGGTGAGAGAACTGTTCAACCCATATATGATTTCCAGCCAGAATTGAATTGAATCCAGACCATATTGCTGGAAAGGTAACAGCTACCAGCTACCTGACTGTCTGATACAAAGTCCCTTGAGATGGCTAGTCCTACTTCTTGAAACGACAAATTTCTGTTGGAAGTGCTTAGGAATTACAAAAACTCTTTGAATTATTACTCTTATGGGAAATATTATAGGATTACATCAAAGTAATTCAAAGACTGAGTGCAGATTTTGAGATAGGGGAGAGATTTTGCTAGGTGAAACTGTGTTGTGTGCATTACAATCTGGGATCAGTTTTTCCACCATCTGATCAGATGGAAACCATCTTGTATGTCTTGTATGTGTAGTCAAGGTTGTGCAGATGAAAACTCAAAATTTTTCGGAGGAGGTAATGCTGATTGGCTTAAACTTTTGTGAATTCACTTGCATGCGATGCTATTCTGCAGATACCGTAAATCCTCCAATTAGCACCCAGGGCGCTTATTTCAAATTTAGGAGAAGACGTGAACGCTTATTTGAGGGGGGCGTTTAATCAAGAGGGGGTGGGGGGGCTTATTTAATTTCTGAAATTGTGGCCTGACATGATCATTTTTTTAATATGTCATCTGCGCGTAAACAACAGCATAAGCTGTTTATCAACACAAAAAGCTAATCCCAACATTTAAAATCCGGCACCATTAGTACTTAACGTGTTCAACGTGTTCACTTAACGTGTTCACAAACTGAAACAATGCACAAATCTAATACTACATGACAAACACTATACATCCTTTGTTGTCTCATAAGAGGGGGGCGCTAATTTGAGGGGGGCACTTATTTTAAATTTCGCCCAATAGGAGAGGTGCTTATTTGAAGGGGGCGCTTATTCGAAGGGACGCTAATTAGCGGATTTATGGTAGATTCATTTGATACTTTGTTGCCCACCAGCTTTGATCATATTCCAGTCAGTATCACTGGGTAAGATAAATACCTTTCTGCCTTCTTGGTCCTTCAGTACAATACTGAAGGATAGATTGATAACTTGGTTCCAGTTGGCTTTTGAATAATTTCATTATGTACCATTATGCATGATAAATACCTTTTTCTCCTTTTGCTCCATCAGTACCAGGCTGGCCTTGTTCTCCTTTCTTTCCGTCCACTCCATCTATCCCAGGGGGTCCTACTATAACTTGCCCAGGTTCTCCTTTCATGCCATTGTCACCTTTATCACCTTTTGGCCCAGGGATTCCATTCTCTCCATCATTGCCTGGTTCACCCTTCCAAGGTAAGAAGGGTAATAAGATTCAGTAGATGTATGTAAATGCAGCTTGGATTGGGAATAATCATCACCAACAGAAGGGGATAGTTTTTCTATTCCTTACTTCACCGTGCTACTTTTGCAATAACTCATGAATTTTTCTTACTTACTATACCCAAATTCTCACTGATGATGGTACAAACCTTGTTTCCTGGGGGGCCTCTTTGTCCAGGAGGGCCATAATCCCCGGGATCTCCTTGTTTTCCGTCAGCACCTTGCTCTCCTGGAAATCCCTCAGGACCTAGTTCACCTTTCTCACCTTTAGCACCTACAACGCGGAAGACTTGTCCGTTTTCACCTTTAGGGCCTGGAGGGCCTATATCTCCAGGCTCGCCCTGGATACCCTAGAAATGAGCAGCAACGATAACTTAAATTTTTCTGTTGAACCTGCAAAAGGCAGTTAGTGTCTTCTGGCTAGTAGTGAAAATGATATTAAGAAAAAACGTGTGAGGTTAAGATAAACAGTAAGGGATCAGAGAAAGCATAATAACCACTTTTGCTTACACTAAACTATAATATCCACAACAATTACTCTAATTATCTTCCTGGGAGGGAAAACCACGATGGCAATGGCAATGTCACTAAATGGCAATGTCAGTAAACAAAAAGTTTAATGAGCATTGAAATAGCTGTAAAAGTGAAGCCTTGGAGCTGACTGGCTCATAGCTGCTGGAGCTTATCCTGGTTTCTATAGCATGAAGTGGCTAGGAGTATTTCTACTCCCCCTGGATGGGATGCTAGTCCACCACAGGTCGCTCCCCCTGCAATTTGTTAGGTTTTCCCAACAATTCGCTGGTACCCATTTATACTCCTGGGTGGAGAGAGGCACTGCAAGAGTTAAGTGTCTTGCCCAAGAACACAACACAGTGTCCCCGGCCAGCGCTCAATCTGGAGTGCACTAACCATGAGGCCACCGCGCCTCCACATTGAAATAGCTGTGCACATGCATTATAATTCTTGGTACATGTCTTTGCCACCCTCTGAAAAACAACATGAAATGACCACATTTTTGCACTGTATGGGGAACATGAACCATGTTATGATGGCTCATTTTCTATTTCAAATTTAATGCTGTGTTCCATACTCAGTTTTGAGATGGTTTTGACAAAGAGAAACAAACTAAGCACCTTGAGCCCATGTGGCACAAAAGACCATTACATGCTCAATATCTGGTTGATTTTTAATCAAACTGGAACAGCAAAATGGTCTTGGACAGATCTGTCGTTTGAAAGCATAAAATCCTAACCCTCTCCTATTTGAAACTTAATTAACCACCCCCACAAATTGTGCAACTTTTTCCTCTTAGACTTTTCAGGTCAAGTTAATATCTGACAATAATCCACACATTAAGAGCTGCACAATAAGCTATAGTTCAGGCCTGAGTTGTTTGAAAGGTGGATAATGCTATCCAGCTGATAAATCACTATCAAGCGGATAGTGCGGTTTGTTTTGTTAACAAATCCACTGGATAGTGATTTATCTGGTGGATAGCATTATCCAGCCTTCGAACAACTGGAGCCAGGGGTATACCTCAACTACTTCAATTCAAACTGAGGCTTCCACTGTGGCTGTTAGTATGATTTATGGTATCCCATGAATAATATCTTTTAAACAGTATATTATGTGTGGTCCTTGGGTCTATTGTTACCGTTTTACAAAATATGTGGTTTTTCCTATGGGAATGAAAGGGTTAAGAGTATTGCAAGATTCACAGGTAAAAGATAAATTTATTTATTTTTTGACATTGTCCTGCTAAACTGCCTATTACTCCATGGCAGGCTATCCCCAGCTATGTCAGCTCATATAATTTACTAGTACTTTACTGTTACTTAACAGGGTGAGATGAAATTCAAAAACTCTGCTTGCCCTTCAGGCAAGCTGTAATTTCATCTTACTAGCCCAACTCTCTGAGGAGCTAGCTGAAATTATTTTATTAAGGATAATTAAATCAATTTTAATATGCAAAAATAATGTTAATTAATAATATGGAGCTTAGATGAACCAATTCTCTTCGATTTCCTTTTTGAATTAAACCTTATACAATAAAACATTTAGAACACTTAATGTGTGGTTCTTGAAAATATCCATACCCCCCATGGAGGGTTTTCCAGTTTGACCCCAGCCCCCAGGATTTTCCGTTCCAGGGGGTTTCACAGTACTCCCCCCATCCCCTGCAATTTCTATGACTTTTTTATTTGCGTCCCCCTACCCCTTGGAAATTTCATATCCATAAATAACAAGACTTAAGCAATTCATTTTTATCTCCTAGGTACTGTAATAAAATTTAGCCGCGGCTATTCATGCTTATATTGTAAATGAAGACGCAGGGCGACATACTTTTTCACAAGCAATTGTAAACCTTGATTTGGTCACATGACTTGCGCTATTTTATCTAACATTACATATGGAGATATTTACTAGATCAGGATTAAAGCTGCTAGGTAATGAAAGATTAAGGCTCTGAGATTTAATTAATTTTCCAAAAAATGCCCCTGGAAAATTCTAGACGTAAATTCATGTCATGTTAACAATGAGTTTGAACTAACAACTGACTTAGAAGTGCTTCACTCCCAAATGGCATAGCAGCTGACTTTTTCTTCATTCAAAGAAGTTTTCATACAAGAATCTAAGAAAGTACTGAAAATTTAAGCTCTTTTAGAAAACCCAGTCGAAGTTTAAATTTATGGATAGTCAAAACAAGATATTGAATTACTTTACACACGTAGTTATCGCGGGAAAGAAAAGCCATCATGCAACATGTTTTTAAAAAAGTTGTTTGCCAAATATCGCTGCAATTTTTCTTTCAGGAAAGGAATAAGTCAGTATTAATTAAAGTCATATGCTTTGTCTTATTTTGTAGTTTGTCAATGATAGTAAATTCATTTTATGCCCTGACGTTTTTAATTTGTGTCACGCTTCATGTAAGTGAAACACAATTTGTTCAGTCGTACTATAAATAACCAAATGAAATCTTGGCTAACGCTCCAGTGCTCCTTGCTATTCAGGGCTATACACATGCTTTAAGACACATGCTTTCTTGAGCAAACTATTAACTGCAAGGTAACGATGAAAATATGTGATAACTTTGTTACAGGAAGTTTTTGTCTTGCACCGCTGCTGCACTGTTGGGGCATGTGATTGGGAAAAAATTGATATTAGTCGCTTAAATTTTACATTTTACTCTCTCTTAGACAAAACATTTCTATCGTTTCACTTTCTCTCACGAACTGTCTGTTAAACACAACATGTGAAGTTTGTCATTAGGAAAAAAGAAAACAAACAAACAAACAAAAAAAAGAAACAGTCTTTCACTCATGTCCACTCCATGCTTGCCTGTCGGGCAACCTGCAATAAGACAGTGCTAGCCTGACCGATCATTTCACTAGTCCTGGATTATCGGACAGCCTTTTCGTTGCGCCCTGCTTAACATTCCTGAGTCTTGATTTACATTAAAAATTAAAAAGCATCAGAAAATCTCTAATTATCAAGCCACGGCACCATCTAGACACAAGGATAGTTCATAGCAGAGCTCTGGTGGAGCCCCATAACTATAGGAACAGAACCACATGCATGAATAGAAATAAAAAAAAAAACATGGACTATTTTTTCATGGTCTACAGGGCTAGTGGTGTGGATTGTGGACACATGTAACCTTAGATGAAAAACGACATGGCAGCCATACTTCAGCTAATAGGTCGACCAAGGTGTGCAGCCATGGTTTATGTGTACATCTTTGATATTGGACATCCATGTTATGGTCAACTGACACCTGTCAAATCAAGGTATCTGCTGACCAGTATCACGTGACTATATCAAGGGCTCAGGTTTAGAGCTCATGGAGGTCACATGTTTTTTTTGACTGGTGACCAGGAACTGTTTTTTTTTTTAATTGGATTGCAGGCTCAAGTCAGGTTAATTTACTGTAATAGGAGTTCTGCTTTTAGGCTTGGCTTAATCTATATATTATCAGAGTAGTGATTATGTTTACCGGGTCTCCAGGATCTCCATTTGATCCATCACTTCCTGGAGCACCAGGATCACCTTCCGGCCCAGTCGCACCAGGCGGTCCAACAGCTCCATCTTCACCAGGATCACCAACAGAGCCAGGGTCCCCTGAGGGTCCTCTAGGGGGTGGTGGACAATCACCGCACTCTTCACCGTTTTCTCCTTGGGTTCCCTTAGGTCCAGCATCTCCCGGTGGGCCACTTTGTCCTTGGTCACCTTTAGGGCCTGGTGGTCCATTTGTGCTCTCCCCTTACAAGCCAACATATTGTGTCAGTGTTAGAAATTACAAGGAGTGACAGAAATGTTGGGCAAGTGTAAGTCATCTGTCACTTTCCTGTTTGGTGAGTATTCATCTGTAGGTAATTTTTCTGTCTTTACTTCTCAAAACACATACCTAATGCCTCTACTGTGTTACATGATTCTAAATGATTTTTGAGAAAAAAGTCATGGAAACAACTAGTGCCCAGACTTGCCTTAACTTTCGCTGTTCTTTTTGGCTACTTGATAATGCATACGCATTGTTTAAGTGTTGCATACTATGAAAACAGTAATTAAAGACTTAGAGGATATTACATGGCCGCATGGAGATATGAAATATTTTTCAACACGAGAAGAGAAATTTCATATCTCCAATGGCCATGTAATGCTCTATTTATTATATAACCACCAATGAAATCCCAACCCATTTCACTTTTGCTGCTTGAGGTGCCATTTATTATGTAACCATGGCAATGGTGATCTTTTTACATGTTAAGGAAATATGTTATTTTCAGGTGTGATGTCATGAAAGATCACCTGGTATTTCATTGGTTTTTAAATAATAAAACACCTATCTTTAGGCAGAAGGTTTTACTCCATCAAAACTGTATTGAGCCACGTTTGTGTCACATCATGTCATTTGCAGCTGTGTGGCAAGTTTGTTACCTGGTGGTCCAGGGAATCCATTTTCACCCTTTTGACCAGCCTCTCCGCGCAATCCAGGACTTCCGTCTATACCAGGGGGACCTTGAACAGAGACTCCACGGCTCCCTTTCTTTCCTGGTGGGCCAGGTGGTCCAATGGGTCCCTGTTGACCTGGTGGGCCTTTCATTCCGGCCTCACCTAAGAATCAGCTTGACTACATTATTACTAATGGTACTCTCAAAATGGAATCACCATAACTATACGAGCAGAACCACATACATGCATACAAATGGAAACCATGCAACTCTTTTTTCAGGGTCAACATAGCCAACGGCATGGACCATGGGTCGTGGGTACATGCACGCTATGACGTAAATGACGAAAAATGACAATGGCGTCACACAACATGGCGGTCATACTCAAGCTGAGTGATTGAGACTAACTTAAAGACTTTGCACTAGGGATGGTAGACAAAGGCACTAAATCGCTTAGATCACATGGATTTGTGCGAAGTTTTTTTTCCCTAAGTATAGAATGACTGCTTGATCCTATATCCTGCAGAGAAAGGCCACACAGCAGGTAATGAAGTCACAGAACAAGTCATATTGCAATATATTAAGCTATCAATTTTTTCCAATCCACAATATTGCAAGGAAATGTGAGCAAACATTAACAACAATGTAATGATTCTAAGTAAAAGATTCTTTTGCATTACCTGGATTTCCAGTTTTTCCTGGGGGCCCAATAGGGCCAACATCTCCAGTGGAGCCTTCTGGTCCAGGGGGGCCTGGGTCACCAGCACGGCCTGGATTTCCAGTTGCTCCTTTGAATCCTTTAAGGCCAGGTAAGCCGGGAGGGCCTTGGGCCCCTTTAGCTCCATCAGGACCTGGTGGTCCAACTCCCTCTGGACCCTAAAAGCCGACGACAAAGGTTTGTTTAAAGGTCTTGTCAGAATTCCATGGATGTTTGGTTTTGTTGAAATGCATCAATTTTTCAATGTTTTCAAGTTGCACTTAATTACATTCAAATGGCAAAATGGTATTTTCCATTAACTAAGGCTGATTTTCACTAATGCATAAACATGAACATGAATAACATGGGCAAACACAGGAAGGTACTGTTAAGTAGCTCCTTTTGATTGAACATTTTCTTGACAAAAAGTTTGTCCTACTGAGTCTGTATGTTGCTTATGCCTATGTCTAAGCAATTAAAAAACAGCCTTTTAAAATATGAGGTGGGCGTTTGCAAACGGGGTCACATGTAAGAAGCCAATGTCATCCCTAAGATGTACAGAAAAAAAAAGTACCACTTTGTTTATTTAGTTTCTTAGGTGATAAAAGTACAAAACTCACTATTCTGTTTCTATGGAGAAAAAAGTTTAATTAAAACTCCCTTTTTCAGACTTTGTTTCTAAGGAGATAAAGGTTGAATTAAAACCTGCTATTTCACTCTTTGTTTCTAAGAAGATAAATGTTTAATTAAAACTTACTATATCACTCTTTGATTCTAAGGAGATAAAAGTTTAATTAAAACTCTCCATTTCTACCTGTGTTTCTAAGGAAGATAACAGATGCAAAACTCACTATTTCACCCTTTGTTTCTAAGGAGATAACAGTTTAGAACTCACTGTTTTACTGTTTGTTTCTAAGGTAGATAACAGTTTAAAACTTGCTATTTCACCCTTTGTTTCTGAGGAGGTAACAGTTGAAAACTCACTGTTTCACCCTTTGTTTCTAAGGACAACAGTTTGAAACTTCTTATTTAACCCTTTGTTTCTATAAGGAGATATCACTTTAAAACTCTCTATTTCACCTTTTGTTTCTAAGGAGATAACAGTTTTAATACTCACTGTTTCACCCGTTTGGCCTTTTTCCCCTGGGTCTCCCTGTGGTCCAGGTGGTCCAGTTGGTCCTATATCACCAGGAGAGCCCTGGTCACCCTGTGAGCCTGTCTCTCCCTGTAAGAATTGCAAGGATTATTTATTCATGAAAACAGGTAGGCAGCATGAAAGGGCTCTGCCACAAAGTGAAGGTTAGGCTCTCTTTGACACTTTGTTCTTTGACCCCAGAATGATTTCAGCCTAGGATAATTTGTTCCAACCTAGGTTAATTTTTCAAACCAGTTTATCTATTTTTCACTTTTTTGGGGGTTCTTTAAAAGAATAACATGTACTCCACCCTTCTTCCGATTCTCTGATTTCAATTTTCCAAGTTACAGTCCCCATTTTTTTCTTTAACACCTCTCAAATCATTTGTGATCAGAAGACAAGATCTTGGTTCTATCCAGGATGACTGAATGATCTTTGCAGTCTGGGTGGATGTACTTAGAGACTTCAGAATTATTTGCTTGAGCTCCTCCTCCTGTGTTCCATGTATCTTGTGCTCATAGTGCTCATAGTCCTCCCTGTCTAACCTATGTAGCTTGCATCAATATACACAGCCCGTTTTATAAAGCTTGGTTAGGAATAGAAATTTTCGTGGAGCTCTACGACTCGGTGTAGAAATTTTCGTGGAGCTCTATGACTCTACGGTAGTATTTTGAATGTTTAAGCTCCGTTTCTCTCAAAAATGCGTACACCGTAGAGGTGTAGCAGCATATAGTTATTGTAGCAAATATTATTTCGCTTAGGAAATATGTTGAGTGTTATTAAGGATTGCAGTGTTTTAATAATTGTTTTCAATTTACAATTCTGTATTGAGTTTACCCTGACTACGCTCTACCCCATATGTTCTTCCATCTAGGGTCAACACACTACGCCCTTAAAGCTCTTACACTCCATGTGCCACCATCTACGCTCTATGCTTTACGTATTTACGAGTTTATCAGTTCAAGAATTTTTTAAATTTTAGGGGGCCACATGATTAGCGCTAATGGTATGGCCCCCAAAATATAACAACATACAATAACGTGTGCATTAAGGAGTTTCTTGTAACTTCCCTTTACAGCATGTTTCAGCAGTTATTCACTTCCATCGGAAGTTAAACTTAGGCACGCTTATGTGCTATATATGCTGTTCAATGTTAGTTGTGATCATTCCTGAAGAAGTCTCAGACAGAGACGAAACATGTCCCAAATAAATGAAAAAGCTTACAAATACAAGAAGTCTTCCTTTGTGCTGCTCACCAGTCTTCATTAAAAAATTGAAAAATTAACAAAAAATAGGAAAAAAGTGCAATAACCTTTTAAGCAGACAGGCTTAGAGGGTAGATCATAGATCTTAGAGCATAGAGCGTAGAGTGTAGATTGAATAGAGTAGCTGGTAGAACGTAGAGAGTAGAGTGTAGATGGGCTTACAGGATAGATGGTAGATTGTAAAGCGTAAAGCGTAGAGCGTAGATTGAAGAGAGTAGCTGGTAGAACGTAGAGAGNATAGAGCGTAGAGTGTAGATCGAATAGAATAGCTGGTAGAACGTAGAGAGTAGAGTGTAGATGGGCTTACAGGGTAGATGGTAGATTGTAAAGCGTAAAGCGTAGAGCGTAGATTGAAGAAAGTAGCTGGTAGAACGTAGAGAGTAGAATGTAGATGGTAAAATATATAGCGTAGAGCGTTAACTTAATACAGAACTGTACATTAAAAAGATTATTAAAATACTGTAAACCGTAATAACACTAAACATTCCCCATGGGCTTTAATATTTGCTACAATAACAGGAAGCCTCTATGCCTGTACATAGAACCGTTGAGCGTAGATGGTAGACGGTAAACTCAATATAGAATTTTAAATTGAAAACGATTAAAACACTGTAAACCGTAATAACACTTTTAATTAATATATATGATATATGCGAGGAATATGCTACAAATTGAAATCAAATGTTATGAAATAAGCAGGTAACCATAGTAACAATACACACCTATGGTAAAAGCTATCAAGTAGGAGGTAATGTATCTTTCCAACACGTAGGAGGAGACTGATGATGAAAGTGTAGAGTCGTAGAGCTCTACAAAAATTTCTACGCCAAATCGAGCTTCATAAAACGGGCGCCAGTTGTGCATCAAGGTGATCACAGTCATCACAGAATATGTGATAGGCTGGATCAACAATCCTATCCTTCTCTCATTTATCTGCATGAAAGCTTTTAAATTAAAACTTAAGCTTTTAAAATGTTGTAAATTTTAACATTGTAGTAGAGTCCGTGTCAAACACAACTTCGAATGTATACTACTGATGCCCATCCCTGGCTGCAATTTTAACATTCTTAGATTAAGCTTTTAAACATTTAATTTCGTTTTCCTGATGAGATATAAAGCGAATACTTGTATGAATCAGAAAAATACAATTTGTATAGGTAATCATACAGTTTTTCACGTTCAATTTGGAATTAATTTGCACAAGTGAGTTTTTCAAAAAGCTGAAATTTCAGCTTTCTAAAAAACTCACAAGTGCAAATTAATTCCAAATTGAACATGAAAAACCGTATGATTACTTATTAATAATATGAACATGAAAAAATTTGCGTGGAGGAAGTGCCAGAAGATCTTTCTCATTTGAGAAAACTTCGTTTTAAGTTTCTGCACAAAATTCTTGTCATCATTTTACGTGATATCATTGGCTTTGAAAATTTCCTGTTATCTTTCAGCCAATCATAATCCAGAATTACGATGTGTAATTTGCACTGGTGTTACACTTGAACTACACTGCTCTTAGCCAATCAGAATCGAGTAATTTTTTCATGTATATTATTATCTGAGTTAATTGCACTATTCTTTAATTGAATTTAATTAGCACTCACTTTACCATAATAAAGTGAAGTTTTAATGAGCAATATGGTGGGACTAACTACAACATAATTTGAGTAAAAGGAGAGGGTCAGGGGTCAGGGGTCAGGGTAGAGTAGGGTAGAGTTTTGAAATGTTACCTTAGGTCCATTAACTCCCCTGTCACCTTTCTCACCATCATCTCCCTTAAAAAAAGCAACAACAACAAATGTTTCAATAGCTAGACATGCCATTGTGGCAGCATCACCTTGTATGTGTAGTTAAATCAGCAGGATGTGTCGTTGTGGTGGGCAATACCCCACAGCTACACCAGCTGGACGTGCCATTGTGGTGGGCAATACCCTATAGTTACAATAACTGGACATGCCATTGTGGTGGCAATACCTCGTAATTACATCAGCTGGATGTGCCAGTGTGCCAGCATTACCCTATAGTTACAATAGCTGGGTATGCCATTGTGGTGGCAGTACCTTGCAGTTTGAAGTGTGTGTTACTAATTATCTTTCTCTAGCCTCATCTAAATTCCAGAATGGTTAGGTTGTGTAAATATTACTGCAGCAGCTTATCTTGCTCGTGGCAGCAGTTTGTCAGGGGGAGGGGCCGGGGGGATACACTTTATAAGACGCTCACCTGTTCACCCCTTTGACCGGGTTCTCCTTTGGGTCCAACCTCTCCTTGGAGACCGTCGCCCTGAAACAGACAACAAGCAATCAAACACATATCTCACTACAGTAAGGAGCAGTTATGATACAGCAAACTCAAACCTTTCCAGCTGTGTTCCATCAATAAAAAATACCTTAAAAATAATGATGGAAGGTAAAAAAGGGCCACAAGCCAAAGGAAACTAGGATAGATTAGTTTAAATTTAATAAGGGTTATTGACCGAGCAAAAGGTGAAAGTGACCCAAAAAAATGTCAATACAGTAAATGCTTAATTTTTACAATCGTGTACTGAGAATGGATCACAGGGTGCATCAATTTAACAGCAGGGTTCTAAAAGAGCCATTATAAATTGAAAATACTTTACTGAACTTCAGTCAAACCTCTATTAAGAGGCCACCCTCTCTTGTTGTCAGTAAAATACTGTAGCCACAGTCACCCAAAAATTAATACATGTATGTCAAGTGGTTTGGCTTTATTTTGGAAAAGACGATGCACAGAGAAGAGTGCAAAATAGAAAGTGACCACTGATTAAAGCATTCAAACACACGTTGATTACTGTCTTTACATGATTCCAAGTTGCCTTAAAGCATGTTTGTATTTGAATAAATTGGTATTTTTGTTAAGCCTCATGATAATAATAATATTATTTCCAACAAACCCTTATTAAGCAGCTAACCCATATTAAGTTCAAATGTAGTTTGTTCAGTCTGTGTTGGGGAATATGGGTCTTGCTCTTTTGGAACATTTATGGACCTCACCTGCTTATGTTGGTTTGGCTTGCAAGAAAAGAATGGTTCCCATGCTAGTTCAATAAAATTATTATAATATGCAAAATTCCTTGAAATTGGTCATCTCTAAAAGATATATTGAAATAGTCACCATTTCTATATCCTATCAGCGGTTTACATTTCTCAGACTTACTAAAATGTAAGGGCTGTTTAAATAATTACAGTGCTTACATTTATATTTTATAGTTAGTTCAAGGATGACGTTGTATCAACTTGAATGTTCATAAAAGATACTTACAGCATCAGATCCGGGTGCTCCTTTTTGTCCAGGGCTACCAGTGTTGCCCTAAAGTTGAAAACATCAGCCATGCATTCAGGTTCATACTTATAAAAAGACACCTTTGTTACATGCCCCACAGTTTGTTAACAGCCACTTGCATATAGTACTACTAATATTATGCCCTCACTAGAATGTTTAGCAACCCTCTTCCCAAGATGCCACATGAATTCTAAAAGGGAGGACAACTTGATAAAACTTGATGGTTTTGGCATTCTCTGGTCACTTTATTTATCTGATTTGGTGAAGTTGTGTTATAACAAAGTGATACAATTTCAACAGTCTCCCACACCTATTTTATTGTACACCATTAGTATGGCCATTTTCTCAGATGGAATAAGCCTGTTCATGTGTCGGTAACATGCTCCTCCCACATCCAATGCTTTCCAACAAATTTTGTTGTAAAATTATTCCCCAAAAAGGCAAAATGACCTTGGCTACTGGCTTACTAGTGGTTGGTTGATCTTGAATCTAACAATTGGTTCATCATGCCTTCACAAATATCCTTGCTTGTTGTACAACATATTTTTCATAGTAGTTATCAATACCTTTTCTCCTTTTGGCCCTTTGGGTCCCTGAAAACAAGAGCAACAACAATATTCAGGTCAAAGAAATCTCTTAATATAATAAAAATGATGCATAATCACAACATTCAAATAAACAGGCCCACCATATTTCACTGCTCATAGTTACTTGTTAAGTTCACACATTACACTCTCATGGATAACAAAAAACCAGGCATAACCACATTGGCTGGTAGGGCAGGAAATAACAGCTGCTTGATGGCCAGTCAAGATGACAGGCCAAATGAATTTAGCTTGGAAATACCTCATTTCTAGCTGGTCAAATATATTAACATGTAATTTCAGCTCGGTCTTCATGTATTTCCGATTGAATGAATTGATTGTTATCTACAGTGTTGCTTACTTTAGGTAGGTGCTTTTAATGTAAATGATAAACTGCTGAATTTTACTGCTTATCAGTCAGATTGTGGTGCTAAAAAAGTTGTACAGTGATCCAAGTTGTGACTGGAATGAGTGGTCAAAACACATGGGTGTTATATGTATAAATTCATGTAATTTGTAGAAAGTGAAGTCTTTCCTTGGCGTCAATTACCCATCATTTCCAATGTATCATGTGAAGAATTGTGTTGGAATTGAACATGTCTTTAACACACAGAGGAGGTTAATATAGCTTCAACTTCAACCAGATATTTGTTTCCTTATTGGTTACTTAAGAATACTTAAGAATACTGTGTCGAGCTGTAACGGATAGTTAAGAAAAGTGTGGAAACTTCAGTTTATTTCAATATGATCAATTGAACGTGGCTGGTCAATGTGACTGTTAAGATGAAAGTTTGACCAGTCAAATCTCCAATCAGGCTGTGGACATTGTCTGATGACTACAGCCATTATTTCCAGCCCTCGGGCCTAATGAGAAATGAAAACTTGTTTAAGAATTTCCCTTCAATTGCCAGCAGAGATGCTGGCAACTGAAGGTGTTGCACCATTTCTAAGTCGGAAAGTAAGATGTTGTGGAATGAGCATAAATGAACAGATGTTCAACAATTTCCTTACAGGTATAACAGTTGAGTTAAGTGTTCCGACTTCACTTAAACCTCCTGGCTTTCCTTTTTCTCCTTTAATCCCCTTTTGTCCTGGGGCACCTTTCTCACCCTGCTTATCAACACCTGGATATCCCTATGGTGACAGATAAAACAAACCATTAGTAAACATATGTTATTTGCTGGATGGGAGGTCTGTATTGGGAAAAATTGTGCCTGACAAACAACAAACCAATTCTTCGTTTGCACTGTCATGCAATGCCGTATTTATTCGCCTATAAGCCGATCCCGGCTATAAGCTGAGACCCCAAACTTGAGAGAACTGACGATGAGCTTAAGCTTGTCAAAAAAAATTGGAAAACTCTCCGCTATGAACTGAGACCAAAGTTTCGCAGAAAAATTTCACCTTTGAAGCGTCCCTCTCAGGAAACATATGTTGATTGTTGAACGAATTAACTCAACCAAATGAATATTCAAAAGTTTATTGTAAACAGTTAGCGAATCAGCGAGAATGTGAATATCAATCGATCCTAACTAGTCTATAAGTACAGCTGAACATAATGAATTCCACCATTCAGACTAAGTTTCAAACAAACGCTTACTGAAATTATCAGTTTACATATCGTCCGTGATCGTATTCATCATGCCAAAAGTTTGCTGTACTTCTTACAACATGGCTTTTAAGCTCAAAGTTGTTGCTGAAGCTGAGGCTGTTGAAAACAACCCAGAGATCGCCTGAGATTACGGGTTTAGCGAGTCGATGGTTCGTTGATGGAGAAGAGACCAGGTAAAACTTTTCAACGGCGAGCTGAAGACGTCTGCAAAACCAACAATGTTGGACCGCTTCACTCAAAAGTATCCAGAGCTAGACCAGCAGATGTTGGAATGGTTTTCAGACCAAAGAGAGCAAGGTGAGTACTCGNTGACTCCAGGGTTTCCTGGTTCACCTGCAACACCTCTTTCACCCTGTTGAATATGACGTTGAGCATTAATTATATAATAAATAATTATAAAGGCTGTTGTCTGAGAAAAATTATGAGGAGCCCAAAGACTCCTAACCAAGAAATCCTGCAAGCCCAGCACTAAAGCTAACATGAAAAAGTAAGTTTTTCCAGTCACCCAGAAGGCAAAAGTTGAACTTACAGATAATTGGTTCTTATTATTTTAGACTTCCCTGGTCCTTACATTTCCATTATTTACAGTAGTGGCAGATACATTGATTGCTTGCAAGTGAGCTTCAGCAACTTTTCCCTGTCTGACAAATGCTTCATTTTTTAGTGCAAAGTATTCAAGTAAGCAAAAGGATACTTTCCTGATCAAAATGCACACAATAGATGTCTAAATTTGTCCCATACTTGAAGACCAACACACAAAGAGCGTACAATGAGCAACTCTCAGTTGATTAATATTCTTTTGTATAAAACAGCCACAGGACAAAGAACCCTCTATTATAGAACAGTTTAACTCTGGAATTCACTGGACTATGCTCTTAAGTTGAAACCGACACTAACAGACTTTAAACGTTGCCTGAAGAGGAGTTTAATTTAAAAATTTTTAGAAACCTAATTGCTTTTTTCTTTTGATATTTCTATCCTATTAGTTTGATTTACATATTAATAATTGATTAATTATTAATAAGTTACTTATTAATTAACTAATTAATTAATTAATTGAGTTGTACATAGAATGTCATAATTAATTTATTTTTTTAAAAGTCCCTATCTTTATTCCAAAAAGCCCTTTTGGGATGAATAAAGTGTGTATGTATGTATGTATGTATGTATGTAAAAAGAGTAAACTTTGTTTATGTGCTAACTCCATATAGGACTGGGTGAGGAAGTATTTGAACTCTATTGACCTCTTCGCATAAAATGTCCTTTATTAAATTAAGCCAATGATTTCAACTCAACAATCCAACACTTGTACACAATAAAGAATTAAACTGTGATCAGAGATTTTGATCTATTTTTGTGAAACATGAAAAATTTCACATTTTCCAAGTTTGCAATAAATCCCTCTTGCAAACTTTTATTTTACTTCACATGAATGTAAAATCAAAGGCAATTTGTAATTCCTGAAATTCTACCTGTATTAAGAGGGTTAAAGGTTTTTTTTTCACTTTATATTGTTAAATAATACAACAGAATATGTACCTTTGTTCCATTACAGCCGGGGTCACCCATCATACCACGAGGTCCATCTTCTCCAGGCAAACCCTAACAGAGAAAAAAACCCCTTTTCCTCAGTTTTGTCAATATAAGCTTTGTAAAGTGTTTGAAGGTAATATCAAGTTTTCCTTGAGAAAATTTAGTCACTTTAATTTATACCTGGAACACAGTGCAATTTAAGTCCACAGTAAGTATTCAAGGGTGAATTTGTTATTGTACTTTGTTTCCATAACTCATTAACTCATGTTGTGTCTAGAGAAGAGGGATTTAATAACTTAGTTTGATACTGAGGTTAGGGAAACAAACAAACAAACACCATTTTTGTCTCCGCTGATCGGAATACTTGACCAACTGAAAAGTCAAAACCTCAAATTCCCTGGGGGCTGCAGGTGTTGGGGTGGGGGGGNGGGGGAGGGATTTGAAAATTCAAATTAGCCAATACATTACCGGATTGCCATTTGCTCCAGGAAAACCAGGTGGACCAACTCTTCCCTGATAAGGAAAAGAGAAAAGTTAACATGAGCATTGCTTGCAATTTTAATGTTAGCATCCCGAATCTTCAAGTGCTGTGAGATGTTACCATTATGGAAATATATCAGCTTTTTCATGGAACTCTTTGTAATCTAAGAGACGCACCCATACTCAAACCATTCCAGCAGTGAATTATCTTTTAAACTTAAGCTTACCTCAATCTAGTATTTCTGAGGTAACATACTTGTGCTCCACCACCTCCCTGTTAGCCACACTCATATTATCAGTTGTTCATACTGTCAAAAACTCCCAAAATTCTTAATGGTGGTGAAGAATTCCCTTCTAAATATAGACCACCCTTCACTGTTAATCTGACTTGCCTGAAGAATTTCTTAGATTTGCCTCCTGGTTACGTTCCCCTATGAAAAAAACCCCTAAATTTAAGCTTACATTATGGTACCTAAAACATTGATACTATCAGGCCATCCCAACATTTATTGTTGAGCATGTTTTTCTGGAGGGTATGTCGAAATGTTTAAAATACAGCAGATGTATACTATGTTGTTCAAATATTAACAAAGAAGTAATACAGAGTTTTCCAGACTTACTCTTGGCCCCTTTGCTCCAATCGAACCACTTTCTCCTTTGTCTCCCTAAAATAAAGATTTCAACCTTAAACTTTAATATGTTTAACTTAAGGTTATGTGTAGAAAATTGCATTAATTACAAACTTTTTCGAAAGAAAAATACAGTTTCTTTTAACAATGTTAGTGAAAAGATTTGACCTACAATGCAAGCTTACATCCGCCATTTTCTGTGATGCTTAGTAACCAAGCCTTTCTAAGAAAAGGGCGGGAAAACATGGCACCCGGCCGGTGTTGCGGGCAACGAGCAGTCCGTCCGGTTATAATTTAATGCCTGGCTTGTGGTTTAATCAATCTACCATTCAAGATGAATCAACGAACATTAAGATACTTAACCTTATAGCCTCTTGGTCCTGGTAGACCTTCGGGCCCTTGGAAGCCCTACAATTGAAAGACAAAGGTATTAGTGCAATAGTTTAGTCTGTGTTTATCAACGACGATCGTCTTTGTCGTAAAATCCCGGCTTGAAAATCTTGAAACTCGTAAATAATTTTTCCATATAAGCTTAAGCTTAAGTTTCAGATAAAACGAGACTTATAAGAGAAGGAAAGGTGAGGTACAAATTTTAGCTCAAGCTGAAATGTTAATAGAGACTGAATGAAAATCCGAGAATGTTCATTATTATACATTGAACTCACTATCTCTTTTCTGATTGGCCGAAAGCGTACAGGGAATTTTCGAAATCAGCGCCTGTGACGTCACAACTGCAGATTGTACAATAATCATGTCAAGGACACTCAAGGTCATGGGTAGAGTAATCATGTCATGTGTGACCGCAGTGCATGATTTCTAGGGGTAATCATGTCAAGTTCGCGTGCTTTGTGTTGCTTGCCGTCAGTGAAGAAGCAAAAACATAACTTCCATTTTTTTCCATTCAATGTATAATAAAACAATTATTAGATTCCGTTTTTGTGATATCCAGAATAATCAAGGTCTTGGTAAGGTTTATCAGCCTTAACCTTTGGCTTTGGCTGATAACCCCTACCTGGACCTTGATTATTCTGGATATCACGAAAATCTCATCCAATAATTATTATTGTTTATTATTATACATTGGACTCACTATCTCTTTTCTGATTGGCCGAAAGCGTACAGTGAATTTTCGAAATCAGCACCTGTGATATCATCTAGCTGCAGATTATACAATAATCATGTCAAGGACACTGAAAGTCACGGGTAATCATATCATGTATGACCGCAGTGCATGATTTATAAGGGTGATCATGTCAAGTTTGTGCGTTTTGTGTTGTTTGCCGTCAGTGATGAAGCAAAAACATGACTTCCATTTTTTTTTTTTCGCTCAATGTGTATAATAAAGCAATTATTAGATTCGGTTTTTGTGATATCCAAAATAATTAAGGTCTCATTAAGGGTTACAACCCCTACCTCGACCTTGATTATTCTGGATATCACAAGTTAAGCTTATATATATTTCGGTAATTAAGAACTATAAAATTATCAGACTAGAATATGCACACAAGGTAGCTCTTAAATAGCATGTTGATAACAATGAAGAAATGAAACAAAAAGTAACATTCATGAGAAAAGGCACAGTTCTCTGCTAGATTTGAGTCCTTTGTTGGGGGAAGGTGTCAGGCGTTTGATTGATGTAACATAGGTCCAGTATTAGCTAATATTATTAGGACCAAATTTGCCTTTTATTGCAGTTGTATTGATGACACATTACTCTCAATCAAACCAGACACAATCAGCCTTATTCTACTTGTCACTTGTCATCCTTCACAACAGCAGCACAATGTATTTTTTCCAACCGATTATCCTCCTCATTATCTTCGTGGAATCATTTTTGGGGTTTGGAGTATGTTTGGCTCAAAATAATACGGCTTGAGAGCAGCCATGACCTAGAGTGGTAGTTTAAGGGCTTGTTGGTGGGTATAGTACCCATGGACAAGGATGGAATGATGTCACGAAAATGCAGCCTGACTGCTGAGTACTGTTTAAAATGACAGCAACACTGTTGAATTTAGGGCTTATTTGAAGACGAATTTCATAAGGAAAAAAAACCTGCACTTTTGAGGCTGAAACTTTGGTGTGTAGCTAACATTAGTGCGAGATTTTTTATTTGCATTGGCCAAAAAAAATATGTTTTTTGGAGTGACCTTCTCCTTTAAACAAGAGATATATAGCGTCAATTGGAAAAGAGGTAGCAATTAAATTTTTACTCACCGGTAAGCCAGATGGGCCAGTTTGACCTGTTCTGCCTCGATCTCCCTAGAATGAAATTGAAATTAAAGGTTACAACAGTTTACGGTACCTCATGACAAATTAGTCTGCATATCAAGACATAGCCCCTCTAAGCCTTTTGACAGTTGATTTCTAGGAGGCGTTTGTCTTCAGACAACCAATATTCTAGGTATTGTTCACAATTAGACAATTCTGTGCATCTCAAATGACCCAGCAAGTTTTATGTAAGTTTTTCCCTTTCAATGCCTCCAAGTTTTTCCAACATGGTTTGGAATGATCCTTACAATCTGCACTCTTACTAGCTTAACAGTTGAATTCCTCAACACCAGCAAATATTCTTGCCAAACTCTTTCCATTTCTGGTATTTATTTGGTTGTCAGTTGGTACTTTTAGGTCACTCGGCTTCCAAGCATGTTAATCACTTTTTTTGGCTTTTGCATTTCAGGTGAAAGTGAGAAAAATGACTGCTTAGTGTTCCATAAGGATCATAATCTGACAGGTGTAAGGGTAAGGGGGTTGTGTTTATTTGAATTATATTTAACATGTTGGAGAATGCTAGAATTTTATTGCATGTATTAAGTTTTAATCACCACCAACTTTTATGTATTTGTAATGCTATATGCACTTACCCTTTCACCTTTTGGTCCTATACATTTTGGAATGCAAGATGTGCACCCTTGACACTACAGTTATGAAAGAAAAGAGAGAGAAATAATCTTTTAAAAGCTGTCGCTGCTACTGTTATGGGAAGTGGGAAACTGACAAAATTTTCATTTTTCAAGAACAACATGTTTGAAATCCCTCCAATGCACCCCTACAGGCTTAGAGCCAATCAGGGAGTTTGAAAATGTTTTACTGGTTGACCTCTTATCATGCAAAGCATTAGCATTTTTATTTTGTGGTAATTTGCCTTCTCTTTTCTACCCTAAGGATTTACAGAGTTCCTTTTGTAGTATTTATTCAATGGTGTATTGCTACAATCCCAGACAAAAAATTGGGACACCAAGCAAGTTTCTCCCTTCCCCCACTTACAATGTTGATAATCTGGTGATTTTTCCCTTTTTGTCGAAAAAAATGCAACATTTTCGAACATTGATTAATTGATTAGGGGGGGGGGGAGTGGGGGATATGTGATCCAATTCAAGTGTTCCAACTTATTTGTTCGGGATTGTCTGAAAGCGATATGCTTCGAGTAAAATGGCATTAAAGGAAAGGGCAGAGCTTGTGTCTATAAGACACGTTCCAAGATTATCAGTTCGCAAAGTAGCAGATCTTTTGTGTCGTTTCATGGAATAGTGTTCAGTAAATAGAATGAAACCCATTGAAATGGTTATCCGTGTACAGTAATCAGATTTATCACTATTACATGCGACATGAAAACTTTCGGGTCACATGTATTTAATTAATGCGCACAAATTACATCAATGGTTAACCACTTGAAAGTCAGCGTTTTGCACCCTAACCTTCGCTGTTCTTCCCAACTGGCAGAAGGTATGAAAATTTCTCACTTCACATCATTTGAAACTCAGGATGGAAGCAATGTAGAGTTTGATACTTGAAATATGGTTAACTGTCTGCCAGAGACAATAGGTTAACTACGTAACTACCCCTTCTATTTAAATTGAATAGTTAACCATGTAAACCTTCTCGCAAAGCTCTGTTTTGCTAGTTCTTGATCCCAAACAACGTCAAATAATTATATTTAATTCCTATAAAGTGGAAAAAGGTGTAATTCGAATGATATGACACAGTTTGGAACTAAGATGATTTACCAGTAATGGTTTATTGTTAGGGTTTGCTGAAGTGGTTAACCTTGTGACACTTCTGAAGTAGAAAACGTGCACCTTGCTTTATATGTGTTCCGCTCTTAGAGGGGAAAACGAACAGAGACATACATAATTTAATCACGTTTAGGTAGCAGTATCGCTTTATTGCTGTCCACAGATAAACCCTGTGAAAAAGCGAGGACAAGGCAAAATGTCCACTTGCGCAGTACCCTCTGCTTATACCAAATTTAGATCATTTCTGTTTCGCGTGGATCAACCACCCGTCTGAAGATCTTAAGACAGAGCCAAGGTCATCTTATTCAGTGCAGGAAATAGGGACATCCTTTTCAAACAAAATATCTCGTGCACAGTTGGATTTTATTGGTGGGTGGGCAAGTGAACTGTTTGCTCCTCCAGAAGCAATAGCAGGTCATGTCAAGGAATTATCAGTCACTGACCGTAGAAGGTCATTTAGAAAGATGGACTTCACGATCTTTAGCACTGCCTACCCAGGTAAAACTTGTTGTTGCATGCTGTTTCCTTTTAGTAGTGCTTGTTAGCTGTACCCGTTAGACAGCACAACTCCCCTTTTCTAAGACCTTCCTTATAGCAAGTGGTAAGACATTCTTTCAATTCTTCTTTTAGACAGTCTGGGCCAAAAAAATTGGGACACCAAGCAAGTTCTCCCCCACCTGCCACTTACAATGTTGATAATCATAACACAAATTTCCTAACTGACAAAAGCGTTTAGATTTATGCCTGTTAAGTTTTAGATGCAAACAACAGGGCTGTAGGGTTGTTCGAAAGCCGGTTAATGCTACCTCAGGATTAAAAGTTGACCGAAGTATTAACTCTCCTTATATAAAAATGTTTCTCAGTGCTTAGGGTTTGTGTAGTTTGAAATTGTTCAAACTCAAAACTGAAGGACAAACAATATAAAAAGAAATCCTCTCTGAAAAGTTAGAGAACTGAATTCTCAAACTGGTTAACAATTCATCAAGTTAAAACAAAGAGAATCACAACTGTGAAGGAGGTTTGGATACCCGGTCTTAATTAGCATAGATTTTGACGATTTTAGTTCTCCGTTTACTCCTTAGTTTCGGTTTCGGTAGAGAAGATATATCAAACTCTCGGGACAGTGTTTCATCGGCTATCCAAACACATTGAATTTCGTCAAAGATACTCCGCTGAGCGTCGTATTTTCAACTCTTTTCTCGGTGTTTGGATATCCCGATGAAACACTGCCTCTTGTGTTTGATATATTGCATCAAAATTCCTCCTTATCCTAGGTTAGCTCAATCAGGCTTTGAACAACCCAGCCGAGATGCAGACATGGTGCTCTTACATTTCAAATACTTGTTAGATACTGCGATTGAATTTCAATTTCTGCCATTCTAAATCTTGGTGGGCCGAAGTTGATCTTCAACATTTTTTTTAACACTATTTTATTCTGGACAGTTTCGTGTTGAAAAAAGTCTTTGAAAATTATGCTACTTAAAAATTTTCCCTTTGTACGGAAGATTTATTGTTGTTGGTTTAAAAAGTAGACGGGGATGATATGTAAGGTAATCTAACTGAACGCTAGGGTCAAACTTATTAATATAGTTTAAAGGTAATTGCAAGGAGAAAGGTGAAACTTCATGTACAAAAATACCGAAAACGAAAAAAGGAAAAAAAAAACCAATGTCCTTTAAATAGAAATTTAATTACGAGCTGTAACGGTACATTTTAAGAAGCTGGATATTGATTTTTCATTGAGGCATGCTGTAATTGTCAATATTTATTTGCTATTCTTTGTTATATCAAAACAGTAGAATCGATTCCTAGAATTTCACGGCCTTCCGGACGAGCTGGAGCACGGACAAGCTTGAAGCTTGGAGCGAAACCGGAAGAAGGCAAAGCTGCTATATCTATCCGTTATTTATTAGAAGTCTATTATTTGAAAACCTATTTCCAAGGATTTGATGAGATGCCAATCCGCAAATGCGTTCCTTTTAATACCAGACAGTGTTTTGCATTGGGAATATTTCCAGAAACTTAAGGATATGGCCTCGCCTACAGCTTGCGGTTTGACTCTTTGCCCAAGGCAAAAACCTGTACGCGTGTGATCTTGGAATTTTCATCAGTTTGTCCATTGCATGACTTATGAGAAAAAAATTTTATCAGTACGTTTTGGATTGTTTTTGAACCTTTTAAGCAGCGGAAGACTCACGGGGCACATCTTTTAGGATTACCGAAAAGGTTTACTATAGTCCGATTTTGTTAGGCTTATTTCGGAAGTCATGGGAGTCTCACCGCATGCACAAAATTCACGCGATGTGCCTTTTAAACAGCCTTCTGAGCACAATCTTTACCAACTATTTTCTTTTTCTGTTACATTCATCACTAGATTGTGTTATGCAGTTTCGGTACTCTTGAGACACAGTTGATGAACGTGTATTAGTGTTACTTTCTAGCTCAACGGCCGCAGCACCGGAAATAAATTTGCGCAAAGGTCGAAGGCTGCATAGCGGGACGGGTTTTGGACACAACGAATGAAACAGATGGCATTGTATTAGAAATATTTAAAGCTACCATCATTTTAGCTTCTTAGCCCTTCATCGGTTCACTGTGAATAAAAAAAACTCCTTGTTATCTGTTAACTATAAGACTTCAAATTAAGTCTCGCACAAATGGTTGATCTCTTCCTAAACCGAGCTGGACTTAAGGGCAGTTCCCGGGAAGTTTTAATGATCTTTTGGTTGATATTTGGGTAGGTCTAATTACACAACGCTTTAGTGTGCTGATGGTTTTCCCCAGACAGAAATCACAAACCGAATATAACATAAACATCGCGAGTTTTTCTTGTGATTTCCAACCACGTCTAGTCTGTCGTGATGTTTATGTCAAGTTCAAGTGAGCTTACTTCTTATCATGGTGTTATTACAAGGATTTATACCCAAAACTGCATCACAGTAGTGGTTTTAAGAACAACGTTCATGTCACTTCTGTCGCCTGTCTTTCGTCGACTTTGTCGGTCGCGCGAGCCACGTCACTCGCGTGAAAGTCACGCACACCTTCTGAACTACAGCTAGCGCGCGAGTCTTTCTCTCGAGCATCCCCCTCATAGCAAATGAGAAGTTTTTGAAAAGCTACGATTTAAAAAGAGCAGCGGAAACTCAACTGTGAAGGAAATACCTCCAAGTTTATCGCCTCAATCACACTAGAACGCAGACCAGCCGTGGATTTTTTGTTTTAAATAATTACCATGAGATGAAATTATTATAATTGTTGAACACGAGAAAGAGAGTGATTTTACTGTCTTAACTGTTGCAATCTTTAGTTTTGTTAACAGCCCGTCGATGGGGAAGGCGATTACTGCTAATTTTCGCAACTATAATTAACGATCCGGTGATGAGAATACAAGCTAACACGGTTCTACTTTGGTATCTATCTACTCGTGCGATCGTGCGATCGATTGGTGTGATCGAAGCCACGAGATTTCAAATGGTTCAGGGTTTGGACATGACATACTCGGAAATGCTATCACCAAGGGGATCTTCCCGAAAAACCAGGGAATTCTAATTTATTTCTTGATTTCGAGAAACATTTGCGCGCTGCAGGCTAGATGCCGAATAGAAGGCAACGGAACATTGAATGAAACGGACATCAGGAGTAAATGGTTTTGGTGCGGGTTAACTAGAGTGTAAATGAATATATGCATTTTTACCGTTAGAAAAACTGCTGTCAAACAAATAGCTTCTGCTGTGAAATGACAGCAAACAGAAGCTGGGTTTTTTTTCGGGTCGCAACTATCAACTTTTCCTGTGGTCGGTTCGCTCAGTACTGCTGAAAGTGCAAAGGGACACGCTCTCTTGGAGCTGTGGGGAAACACTCCAAATAAAATAGAAACATACCTCGGCATCCGCGAGAGGAGAATTTACCAATGATAATCCACAAACGACGACGAAAAGAGCAGCAAAACGAACTGAAAACCTGCAAGACAACAAACCACAGCAGAACATGAGTGGATGAACGCGCGCGTCAGGCGCTTGACGTCTGCCTTGGTAAATTAAGAAAACGCGAACTGAAGCGTGCCAAAGATCCGTCCCATAATATCGGGCCCAAACGTACCGCATGGTTAATATATGCATCCAGAAACAGCTACCAGTTCTGATGAGCTCTTATCTGGTCATACTATGTTAACGTGGGTTTTTAAGTGTGAAGAGTTGAGAATTGTCGCCCGGTGATCAGTGAAAATGGCTGGCAGGCCGAAATGCCAGGATTGAGAAAGCGGCTTTTGTTTCACGTTTAGCCTCCGGTGATAATGTTTCACGATTTATTGACAGATCGCGGAATTCCCGAGGTGTCAAGATTGAATGACTGGGTGGGTTTACCTTCTACACCATGGAACAATAGTTTACCTGTCCTGCGCTCTTCATCGAGAGCGTGAAGTTAATCTAATAATTAATCGGAAATTTCCCAGGAATTTCTGTGGGCGCGTTGCAGTAGACGCTATTAACTCGATCGTTCAAAAACAAGCTTATTTGTAATATTTAGCCTCTAAGTGCACAGTAGCACTTTTTTGTTTTTACTTTTAAGAAGTTTTTATTCTCGCGTACGTGAAGAAGCTGGATCTACTGCTAAACAATCACAATCGGGCCCGGCAATCGGACTATGACAAGAATAAATGAAATTACGCTTCTCGTAAAACAGCGAGATTTTTCCCTCGAAATGAGGCGTGTTCTACCAAAATACGGAAGCTACTTTGGATTATTACTGAAGGCCTGCCCATGCTTCTGAATTGCGGCCTGCTTTTGCCCTGAAAATATTTCTGCAGCCGGAAAAACCACTCCAAGTATTCTAACCGCAAATAGTTGTCATTCCCGGATGGTGATCTGCGAATTGCACCCAGACAAGATAAACAATCCTGTGTGTCAAATAATATTAGTTGTGAAACTCATCCGTAATTTTTTTTGCTACAGCTTTCATTGGATCTAAGGATTGATTTAGATAAAAGATAATTACGGCGGAGAACTTGACCCAAGCTATAAATGTCTGTCACAACCTCAAAAAACAGCAACTACGGGACGCCCGAGCTAGACCCCCTGATCTGCGGTGTGGTCACCTTCTTTGAGCGTAAAAAAGTGTCATATTCCCTGGCTGTATTGGAGATTGAGGGGAAGTTGTTAGAGTGGCGTGGTGTTTGTGAAGAACAGGTCGCCTTTTTTCACAACTTCGCTTGACTTTTGCACGCGAGAATTGTAAATAAATGAGAGACGGGAAATCCACGTAACTTCCTTTATTAACCTGGCAAGGAGGCATTTTTCTACGTTCTTTTTTGGCCATTAAAAATTCATGTTTATTGAAGAGCCATTAATTTGGCGAGATTACAGAATTTTAGACAGTTTCGATCCAGAGTATATCCGTGAAAGAGGAAAGGACGACGAATTTGGAATCCTCTTATGCTTTCACGCTGAAATGTGTTCGTTTTTCTGTTTCACTGTATTTTTTAAGTCTTTTTCTCTTAAATTCTCAGTCATTCAGTTTGAAAACAAACGTGTTGACCTACTTGTGTGTGTGGTCCTCGGTAAAACTTAATGCGAAAAAGAGAAAAAAATTTTTATTGATATTGCTTGAGCACTTATGTGAGTTTTAGCGTTGCTGTGCGAAAATTAGGTGGCCAGAAATTCGCCAAGAACCATTATCATGTGGTTCAAAGCAGTGTAAGTCGTACATATTACGGTAAATTTCAAAATACGGACCCCCGCGGCTATGACCTCGTATCTAAAAGGTGATTTGTAGAAAGCTGCAAGATGACAAACGCGATAAGATCCAGAAACCAGATAATGTATTTGTCTGACGGCCCGAAATGGGTTGAGAAAATACCAAACGAATCTTTTCGCATTTCATTTTTTTTTTGTTCGCTTAGTCGTCCTACTCCATAGACGTGTAGCAAAACGTGTTTCTTTTATCTCACCATTTTACCCAAGACTAAACAAAAACGACCGGGAAACAGCTGGAGAGCTATTCGTGGAGTCTGTCGCTTCACCTCCCGATGGCGGGACTCACCGGAAATATCGAGCAGTTTCTTAAGTAAACATACCGATCCTCGCTTTTGCCGCGAAAAAGGCGATTGAATTGGCGCCAAGGCGTGCTCAACTATGCGTGTTATTGAGGTGTGATGAGACAATCCTGAACTCGATATTTCCTTTTCGTCATTCTCCGCCTTCAGAGACAATCCCTGTAATGTGAGGTTACAGGGGCCTGTCAACTGTCGAGATCGCCAGATCGGATTGCATCACAATCGATTTTCCCACTTCCTTTGGAGTGACACGGCCGTCGAGGCTCAGATAACAAGGCCTTGTGCTATCCATGAAGCGTTTGTGATCCGTGGCACTGTTCTTCAATTTTGCTTGCTTTTACCTCTCGTTGGAGACTGTTTGATATTTTTTCATCATGAGGTTAAGGTAGGTTTGCGAGATCGTTAATATTCCCACCCGTTTGAGTTTCGCCTTACCCGGTTTACGAAAAGATTGTCTCACTTATTATTCACGTTTCATCCACAGGGCGGCCTCTCTCTTCGCCCTACTTTTCCTTGTGTGCAAAATAGCAAATTCACAGGTAAAGTTTGCTTTTACGCAGGTTTTGTTACCATTAGTTTTGCCATTAGTTTTGCCATTAGTTTTGGAGGCTACAATGTTTCTACTGCTGTAGGGAAACTTACAGTCACTCGCGTGCCCGCGCGCGTGGTGAACGCGAACACTTAGCTAGGTCGTTGATTCGGGAAGAAAGCGTTCTTTTTACACTATTGAGTGAGTTTTTTTTTTAAGTGATACAAATATTTGGTTCATGGATCTCTGATATGTAGTCTGGTGAAACAGTCGCGTGAACGGAATTTGGAGATAATCTACTTTGAATTCGGGGCACATTCTCCAGTTTTAACATAAATAAATAAAATTCTAAGTGAGAATGGTTACAACGATGACCGTTGAATGTTTGCTTAACTTGCTGCGTTGGTTGTCAAGGCGGAGATCATTTATTGCGTAGTAAAAAAAACACGGTTCACGGCTACGCACAAAATCACTATTCGCGTATAAAAACCTAGTCGTTTCACGATAAAAATCATCAATATACCCTTCACCACCTTTCTACAAAAAAGAAAGAAGTAATTAATTGACCCTATTTGTTTTGTGCGAGGAAATGTCTAGAGCATATACCAAAGAATTTTAGAGAAAAAAGCACTGTGGTAGGCAAGGAATTTTTCTTTATTTCTTGATGGTTGTGGTTATAGTTCATACGTCGTCAAAAAAATATTTGAAGCTTTTCACAGTGAAAACAGCCATTTTGAAAACGGGGCAAACAGCACAGGGGCATATATAGCGACCAATTCTGCACGACGTGTACATGTGTGTACCTCCGGAAATCTTAAAAAATGGAGATGTGAAGCGATGTTATTTTCAATCAAATCATTCTATGTTGCGGTTTCATTAAAACCTTGCTGACAGAGCCAATGTTGTTAAGGAGAATGCCTACACCAGTGGGAATTGAAATTGAGGCTCCATCTACACCATTAATTTTTTTTGACACATCTACGCCATTACACCTTTGAAATGATGTGTTTTCCAACTGAAATCTCATCCAAGGCTTCACATCCAGACCACCATTTCCTCCAGCATATTCTCAGTTAAAATTAAAAGACTAAAAAAAAGTTGATACCCTTTGAGAAGAAGCTATAAATGCTACTAGGTGAATAGACATATAGAGACGGACATTGGGGGTTCTGAACACTGCAATACTGCAAAAAAAATTTGGCAAATACCGCAATGTTGCAATAAAAAAAATCGTTATCCAGTGAATAGCAAACTTTGCTTGACCATTACTATCCACTTGATAGCGATTTATCCACTGGATAGCATTATATATAGAATTTGCAGGTCAAATTGAGATGAGCAGTGCAGATGGACCATAAATCAAGCAATAAGTAATTCACAATTTTTTCCCAATCATTTAATCTTGATGTATCTGCACATTTTACGGTTACTGGTCATCTTGCCACCAGGAAGTCTTGCCACCAACGAACTTGCTACCAAGTGAAGTTTCCTTGCCACCAATAGTCTAATAAGGCAGTGGATAAAAGAACAAGGAATAATCTATATATGCAATATGTGACTCGAAAACAAAGCTAGGAAGGCAATGCGCTGCCCATTTCAATGATGCAAAAGTCATAACAAGAAAGAAACAAATTAGAGTGCCGCAAACCGATTCACCAGCTAAGTCACCTCGACTATTTTACTCGACTAGTTTATCTTTTTGTCTGTGTTTGGTAGCGAGGTGGTGGCAAGTTCGTCGGTGGTAAAATTCCCTGGTGGCGAGGTGACTGGATACCCATTTTATAAACTTTGCTGGGATTTACCAAGAAAGATGTCTAAATAAAAATTGTTAATTCCTTAGTCTTTGTAGCTCATCCACATGCATGCCAGGCTCACATTTCTTACCATTATTTAGCCTATTTATGCTTGCATTTCTAGATAACATTTTTTTGTATCTTTTTTTAGGATCAAAATGATGAGGAATGCAACTGTAAACCTGGACAGAAAGGTTCACGGGTAAGTTACAACATCACTACAGGGACATAATGGAGTGTCTACTATGTATACCCAAAGGGACATTACTCCTTCATTAACATTGATTTTCATCACTTCAGACTTAAATAGGGTACATGTTTGTTTTGCACTTTGACCTGAAATTGCTTGTGTTGTTAAAATTAAATTATTTTTCCCTTAAAATCTGGCAATTTAAAACCTTACTGAAATGTTTACACATATGAAAGCCATCACTGGCTAGTTGAGGTCATGTATTAGAGGCATGTACTTATTTTTAAAAGTCTGAATGAATTAGGGTAAGGATTTGAAGAAATCAGCGCCTCTCCACTGAAAATGGTTTCAGAAATATCCATACCCTTCCAAAGGAAGCATCTTCATATCCCCCTTGCCTTTGGACCTCCCCCCACCCCACCCTTGCCATGAGAATTTGAAACTGTTCTATTGAAAAAGGTTATATTAGTCCTATTCACAAATTACAGCTTGGTGAGCAACACAGCTGTTTGTTTTATGAGAACAAATCATGGCCATTTGCCTTGCTAGTCTGTGTTACAACTTTATTTTCTGACCACATATCCTCGTCATTTGCCAAGCTACACAACCTGCAAAATTTGTTTTCTGACCACAATACCTGGACATTTGCAATCACTGGGCTACAAAATATTCATTCCTGATGACGCAGCTTCAGTTACCTGTTGTCAAAAATCACAGCACTAAACTGCAGGTTTGCAGAAATCATCTAAATTGTCCTTGATTCTATGTGGTGACTGTATACATGCATGTATGATGTAATTGCACCTGCTGTGGGAAGGCCAAATCAGTATTCATGTACGTTTGTCCCAAAAAACTCTTGATACAGACTGGATTAGGATTGTGTTACACTTCATGAATGCACCAAGTGACATTTTGCCATGCCTATTTCAATCAAAGTGCTCTCTGAGCAAACTCATGAATGATACAGATGAATGGGACATTTCAGTCAAAGTGCTTGCTGAGCAAACTGATGAATGGTACAGATGAATGAAATGATGTATGTAATTTTGTCTGTTATTTGACACTTTGAGATGTCATAGTAGTTGTTTGACAAAGTACCAGAAACATTTGGATAACTATATGTGATAATTGAAAGGAACGTGTCATAATGCATTGGAATTAAGGAGAATGGAACCTGATTCTACTGATAAAGGACATGTAAGAAACTGGAGTTTTTTGGTACTCTATAATATGAGACCCAGAGGACGAGGTTGAATGACGTTCAGTTGAACAGAATACATTTTTAAGATGCAACTTCAAAATGGGGTAGTGTAAGCATTTCTCAATTCAGGCCATAGTATCGATTTTGGTCACTCCAGGGACCATAGATTGAAAACGTGACAGAAAATTGGCGTTACTTTCGATTCTCACCAAATTTGGACAGTGGGATGATCTGATCATTAGCCAATAACAGGCCATTTTTCAGCTCTTTTCGTCATATCCCCCCCTCGGGAGAGTTTTGTCAAGTTAGCTAATTTAGTATGCAAGCCAATGTAATGGTGGTCACTGTTGGCGAAATGTTTATTTGCTCAAAATTGGGGCAAAATCTTTCGGAGATGGAAGTCAGGACATTTGTAAGGATACAGAAAGTAATATGGGACCAGT